CCAGAAAACCAAAGAGATCTTCAAATACAACTCAACGAAACGGACATTTGGTTACTCACTAGTCAATAAATATCCAAAGCCTCCTAACCCAACTGTGACGTGGATGAGAAATATATTAAAACAGTCTGAAATAGATCCTGCATAAGTTTATAAAATTATACAATTCATCTAAACACATCTGAAGCTTATTTATTATAGAAAGTTCTATCCAATTCCCTTCTCTATGAATGATCTTAGAATGGATCTCAGATAATAGTGATCATCCTGTTCATAGAACAACTTGTAGAAGAAAACATATTTGAAAATGAGGATTGTCTAGGTAAAACAATGAGAAGCCAAATTAGTGAAAAAAAAATGATATTCCATACACATTGCCCTTGAGCCTATGCAATGAAATAGTTTACTGAAAGTTCTGAAAGACCCATCAACACCACAAACGATTTACTAGGTACAGAACAAAAACCAGTAACAAATGGTGCTTAGATATCTGAGGTAAATAAGAAAGAGATGGCCAACAATTATTAATAATGCAACGGAAAATCAAAGTAAATGCACATCAGCTGGATGGCGATAAAACTAGAGCTTGGACAAAAAGGGGGAAGAAAAAAAGAGTGGCATTTGCAACACGGTGTACAAAGATAGTGTACTCCATAGTTAAGAAAAATATAAACAGCACAAAAATAAAAATAAAATAAAAAAAGGATGACAAATAAGTACCCGCTGGTAGACGGACTTAGATCATCCAGGTCAAGCAAAATGTCCCAAAGTAATGCAAGATTGGACCCTTAAGAGAAACAATTGCAGCTGCAGTTAGTATTAATGCCTCAGCTGCTACTGCTCTTACATCATCATCAGGATCTTCAAGCCCAGTTTTACATGCGGGAAGTATGCAGTCAAGCAAATCATGGAGCATCTCCCGTTATTAGTAGCGTACATCAGAATGCTGAAACTACCAAAAATATAAAGCGGAAACATATCAATAAAAATTAACTAGTGTAGTTGCAAGAGCAAAATCATAAGTTGAATTGCAAGAAAACTGTGATACTAGTGTATGTTGAATCACATAGGCCTCAAATCTGAATTTTTTTAAAACAGCTTCCGATTTTCATTGACAAGAGAACTTGAAACTGGAGAGAGAGAGAGAGAACTGGCTCCTCTAATCGTTATGACTTGCAATGGTATGCTTTTACAATTTTTCAGTAAAAAATATGTCATTCAGTTTGAGATAAAAGGAATTCAAATGCAACGACAGCGAAGTATTTGGAGTTCACATAATTAATATATTCTCTAAAAGAAACTCCAGGCATTAAATGGAGACTGCAGGCACATGCTTAAATATAACTCTCTAATACTGACAGTACTGATCAACCTTTAGCATCAATATTCCTTTGAGAAGCATTCATAAAGCAGGCCAGCATTTTGGCACCTGGGATCTTAGGTACAAACTGACATGCGTGAACTGCATCCATTAATGAGGTGATTTCTGGAGGTTAAAGAGAGCTATTATCTTAGCATTCCCATAGAAGACAAACTATAACTTCAATATAAATGCTGATAAAGACAAGTTAAAAGATGATGAATCCATCAAATAAT